TGTGGGGGGGTTATTTTCAGCCTCAGCTTCAGCCCTGCGCTGCCTTGCTGCCCGGCCGCTTCCATTGCCAGCCGCGTTGCCGCTCTCTCCTCCGCGCTGCCGGGCCGGAGCGCCCGTTCCGGTCGGGGTTTAACTTGCGGTAGGGTTTTCCTAGAACTTGGAGCCGTGCGGTTGGGGCTTCTAGAGAAAACGGATAGGCTGGCGTCGCTTAATCTCTGTTATTTCCTGACATCTTGAAACCTAGGGCAGCTGTTAGTCTCCTATTTCTCGTGGTCACCTATCCAGAATTCCTAAGAACTATTTAAATTAACTCATATTGCTGTTCTTGAAAATGTTTTTTTGAGAGTGATTACTTGTAAATTCCCTTGTTGTGACCTCAGTCCTGCAGAGCTTTGCACAACAGCAGCTATTGCCATATCACGGTTTGACCAGTTGTGGATCTGTGAATTGGAAGCTGTGATAAAATCTGTCCCTGAAGCAGGCCCTTTAATTAGCATGGACAGGATGCAGGAGGGAGGCTCAGGTGAGACACCTCTCCAGGACAGGGTGCACCCTCTTCCCTTGGAAGTGGCCCCATTTCTTGGCTGCTCAATTCCAGAATGACAGAGTATGAGCCGAGAGGCAGCAGAACTCTGTGTCCACAGGAAAGGAGGCCTTCTGCGTTGGGTAGTGTAGGATACCCTATGCTTTCTGTGTGTATCAGCAGGAGGTGGCCCTGGGTTTGCATGGTTTGGTGGGAGGGACCCACGGGCTTGGCAGGGCTTGCTTGGTGACAGGTATGTTTGCAAGTGGCAGCCCTCTGCTTATGGTTGTCATTAAGTGTTGTGGCCTGTATTTTGGGTGTGAGCTTCCCCAGGAGACTTCCTGGGTTTATCCTAGACCGAGTTGCTGTGGAACGTGACGGAAGGGTTGAAAACTGCTCGGAAATGTCACTGGGTAAAGGCAGCCGCTCCCATGTGTGCAGTGTTTCTCTGTTTGAGTCCCGTTCTGGCTGCTGCTTCTCCTCTGGATGCAGGCGGATTTGCTGGCTGACTTTTGCAGCCCTGCGCAGCTTGCCCAGGTTGTAGCCTTCCCTCATAGCGGTCTGGGCTGGTTGTTTAACCTGGCACTTGCAGTCAAGTGCAATGCTTGAGCTGATCAGCACTGTGTTTCTGTGTCTTGAGTGCAATAGCGTTTATCTTGGAGGTCCACAGACTTGGAAATTTACTTTTCCATGTAATGAGAAATTTGGGTTGCATAAGGATAGTGCTCTTGAAAGAGTTCTTGAAATGGTTGGCTAAAAGAATTTCTCTAATATTGCACCCCAGGAGATACATGTGTATTAATGTTATGATATTTCAGGGTTTGATAAAAGGGAATTGGAGTGATTCAGTGTATTGTCTTCTGTGTGGCTGTATTTCAGCTGATGCAACTGAGGCAGTACCTCTTCCTACTTGACATAAGGACGTTCCTCTAGGTCTGACCCTGTCCAGGAGAGACTGTCCTGACCTGCAGAGCTCTCCTCACACCTCAGTGGTGCTCAGGGGTGATGTGTGGGTGGGAAGGATCCCTTTCCCTGAAAAAGTTGCACAGCTCTGGAAAAGGAATCACTTATAGGCTAGCCGGTACTTCTTGCTTTTATGCTTCTTCTCCACCCACAGATTTGATGGAAAGAGGAGAGTGTAGAGAACCACCATCCATATAAACAACTTTGGAGTCTGTGAGTTTTTCTCTCTGTCAAGAAAAATAACTGTAACTTCCATCCTTTCTTGCCCCATCGAGTAATGTCTTTATATGGAACTTGTTGTTATCCATGAAAAATTAAGGCTGTCAACATCTCTGGGCCTTGAAATACCCATAAAAAAACACCCTTGTTATATCTGTTGCACTAAGATAGAGATGGATAAGTAAAAAGGGAGAGTTCTCAAAAGATGAGGCGGCAGTTTGGCTTTTGCTTTTTAAATAAAAGAAGAAATTGTAGAAAGGTGTTGGAGTTGGCCTACTGGGAACGTATCTGGAATTCCTTATTTCTAAACTGTAATGTAAACGCTGTTGCTGGAAAACTGCATGAAACGAATGAAATGTTGACCTTCTCTTTTTTTTTTTTTCTATTTCCTAGATCCAGGAATACATTTTTCCTCTTCCTATAAGTTGCTAAATTTTCTCTTGATTTGAACACCCCATTGGTGAGTACAGCAGACCTGTCCCTACAACAACAATTATTTCCTTCTGTCAGGATTCTGTAACTGAAGCTGTAACTGCAGTTATAAAGGTAGTGGTATTTGCATGGTGGGGAGCATACCTGCAGCTTTGTTTTTCCTTGATACTCTCTGGTGGGAGGATGAGCTATTTTCTCTGACTTCCCCTTCTGACCCCACAAGAAGTACCCATAATACTTCCATTATAAAAAAAGGTTAAAAAAAATCTTGGTGCATCTGTTCAGTTTTTTATCCCCTACTATTGCAAATGGATCCGTAGAAGCAGTTTCTGGTCAGTCATGTGCTTATTTCAGCCTCTTCTGCTAGGAATTTCCATCTTTGACTACATCCTCTTTGCATGGAAGTTATATCCAGCAAAATCCCTGGCAAAGGGAAACTTTTTATGGAAGAGCAAAAAGATCAAGCCTAAGAACAACAAAATTTGATGCTGAGTTAGGTTTACCTGCTCAGGTGTATCTGTTGTAGTTTCATTTCTTTGCAGATTATTTGCTTTGACCTTATTGAAGCTGAGATTAAGCATAATATTAAATGACTTATAATGGAAATAATTATTGGGTACCTCTACTCAGGGGGCATCCTAGTAACAACCTGCAAAGGTTCCTGCTGTGTTGCTTGCCCATGCTTTTTTTTTTTCTTTCTTTTTTTTTTTTCCAAATATACAGTTTTTGATGAATAACATGCATTTTCATTATGGATGTGGTTGTAATTATTTCTTTGCAGATACACTTCTTTAAAAGCAGGCATGAGCAGAGATGAAAGTTAACCTGCAGCCAAATGCTGCAGCCATTTTTAAGGATCAGAAAGGATAAAGTCCTTGTTTCTTATGAAACAACTTTGTTTTTATTTATTTGCCTATAAAACAATAAAATGCCGGCTTGGTGTATAGCTTGATGGTGGTTGTAGCCTGCTTCCAATATATATGGAAATTCTTCACTCCTCATCATTCCTCCAGGAATTCACATTTGCAAGTGTAGGAAGGTAGTAGGGAGTCTGATTTGAGTTTCCCTTTGATTGCAACTGTGTCTGTAATAGTACTGCTTTTTTTTTTTTTAATTTCACGAGCAAGTGGTAGGATTTCAGCCTGTTTTACTACTGATGTCTGAAAAATTATTTTGTGACTCTGGAAAAATAAGCATGATCTATTGAAAACTCTTCCTAATCATTATACCAGGCCTTTATGTCCTGGTGACTTTCAGTTTGAAATTTCAAAGTGGAGGGATTGCAGGGGGGTTGTTTGTTTGTTTTTGGTACCGTAGCTTTTAGTGCCCTGTTTCACGTACATTCCAGGGCAGATGCCAAGTACCTACTGTGTAGGTACTTGGTAGACTGCTTTAAAGACTTTCAAATTATACAAATTCACAAATTAATTGTATTTTTTTTTTAAGAAGATTCATCTTTGACACTGTTACCCAGGATCTCTGCACATGTTTCTACTACGCTCAAATAGGAAGCTGTGCTGGATACAAAGACAGTAGTTATAGTGAAAAGGAAGGGGTTATTTGACCCTTCCTCTGAAGAGGACAATATGGAAGCTGAAAAGCCATCTGTTTTCTGAAATTGTTTATGTGATTGGACAGCTGCTTTTCAAAGGCAGAACAAGTGTGGAGGAAATTTTAATTGCTTTTTTAAAAAAAAAAAACATATAATGTGTTGCATGGTGGCTTCTCCACTAACTTGCAGCTCTCATCAACACCTTGGCCTATGTGAAATGTGGTACCTGCCTTGTTCCCCCTTGCTGGGATGGCAGGATGGTAGGAGTGAATGCACACTCCACGTCTTGGTACGGAATGGAAGCTGCCTTCTGAGGAGAGATGGGCTTGTTGAATCGCCCTGACTCAGAGATACACCTTCTCCATAAAGACTGTAAAAGTCTGCACAGGGACACGAGCCAAAAGGTTGTGGAGAACAAGGAGCATGATGAAGTGCTCCTTGTTTGAACTGAACACAGTGAATTTAGCAGTCTGGCAGCTTGAGCAGCCATAACCATCTGTGAAATAACCTGAAATTCCATTATAGTGAGAACTTCTTGGTGTTAGAACACAGGTGTGGAAGAAGGTGTCAAATAGTTCCTGCCTGCCGGCTGGGCCACACAAGTTTACTAGAGTGGCACAGTTGTAAACTGACTGTAGTCAGGCCTATGTCCATAAAATAAGATGCATTCATTTTAGAAACGATTCTTTTCCAGTTGCAGAAGGCGTCTCCCTGGGCAGGCATGGGCTGCCGGGATGTTCACGCAGCCACGGTGCTGGCCTTCCTCAGCGGAACAGCCTCAGTAGCGGGGCTCCTCGCGGCCGTTCTGCTGCCCAACTGGAGGCAAATGCGGCTGTACACGTTCAACAAGAACGAGAAGAATGTGACAGTTTACACTGGCCTCTGGATCAAGTGCGCCCGCTTCGACGGGAGCAGGGACTGCGTGATCTACGACCCGCAGTGGTACACGGCGGTCGATCAGCTGGACCTGCGCGTTCTGCAGTTCGCCCTCCCGCTGAGCATGGGCACCGCTGTCTCCGCGCTCTTTCTCTGCCTCGTTGGCATGTGCAACACGGCGTTTGTGTCGAGCGTGCCAAACCTCAAACTAGCCAGGTGCCTCGTGAACAGCGCGGGCTGCCACCTCGTGGCTGGCCTCCTGTTCCTGCTCGCGTGCGCCATTTGTCTCACGCCGTCCGTCTGGGTCATCTTTTATAACAACTATCTGAACAGAAAGTATGAGCCTGTCTTTAGCTTTGACGTCTCTGTATTTATTGCTATTGCCAGTGCGGGTGGCCTGTTTTTCACTTCCATTATGCTGTTTCTGTGGTATTGTGCATGTAAAAGCTCCCCTTCCCCTTTCTGGCAGCCCCTCTACCCGCACGCCCCCAGCATGCACAGCTACGCCGCCCAGCCGTACTCCGCGCGCTCCCGCCTCTCCGCCATAGAGATCGACATTCCTGTCGTGACACACGCCTCCTAAGAAGACAGAGGCTCGGAAGCTGAGGTCTTGTGCTCGTTCAAACAGTGAAAATTGCAGGCTTGGTTCTCTCTACTGCCTTGCGCTGCGTTTAATCTTCTCTAAGGTCCAATTCCTGAGGGCGCAAAGCAGTGGAGAACCAAGTTTGAGTACTTTGCATTTTTCCGACATTCCTTCCCGAGCAACTTTTTCTTTTCTTGAGCTCACTACAGACAAAACTGCTGCTAGTGCTGTGACAGTGCACTAGCAATAGTCTCCTTTCATGCAAGCTGTTTTGCACGTCTGTTTTTCCGTTTGTTGAGGTCAAAGTGGATTTGAGCCTCTTTCTGACTTTGATAAGCTGTTACTAGATCCCAATCCAATTGTAGGAACTGCAAACATAGACCCTGGTACCCATGTGTTACCTAAATCCTGTGGAGCTGGGTGTAGGGGGTTACTAAGTTTCTTGTTGCAGATGAGAAAATAACTTAGTCTAGTGTAAAGGGTATGATCCTTTAGCTAGAGCAGAAAGGAGAGTAGGAAGGAGTTTACAAAGTCTTTATCTAGACATGTGCAATTTAAGATGTGACGTCTGTAAAGGGTATTTGGCCGATTAATTCTGTTCCATAGCAGTGTTCCTTGTTTTGCACTGTACACATAAAAAGCCGCCTGACTTGTGAACTTCTGCTGTAGAATTAGTGTCAAATTACCCTTTAATTTCAAAGTAGCAATCAAACTTGGAAATGAGATTGATTTAACTAATCATGCTCCTCTATACCGTAATTAGCATTTTCTGAATTACTGGAGGCTGGAAACTTTTCTTCCATGATTTTTTTTTCTAGTGTGTATTTTTTTAATAAGTTGCCAAATACAATAGATCTATTTTGTGATTTTTTTAAAAAAAGAACGCTACATGTATTTAAAGTTTTTGCTTGAATAAAAGCTTGAATATTTTTATTTGAAAGCCATCTTCAAGTAGAGCAGGCCTAAAATTAAAAATGTTTTAAGTTCTGGAGAGAGATGTCATTCACATTACAAAATAGGTTAGGAAAGCCATGAAGATTTTTCAAGACTGTGAAACAATGTTTTGCAAGCTGTGATAATCCAGGAGGGAGATTATAACCCTGGGGAGAGAGATTTTAAGTCTGGATGTTTTATGTATCTACAGTTAGCAATGAACCTGTGTAGCTTTCCACAGTGGATGCTTATAGGAAGTTTTATAGCCAGCGGACTGTTGGACTTTTTGTGCCGTAGCTTAAATTACTTGTTCACTTTCAAACTGAGCTATTTAATTTTTTTTCCTCTTCTCTCTATGCTGCCACCTCACAACTAGAAAAATGTTTGTCACTCTTATTTTCTGTAACATGAGGTTCTTGATTATTTGTGAGCTTCACTTTCTCACCTTACAAAGGTGAGAAAAGGTTATATATTCCCAATCAGGGATGTCTTAAAAGCATTTTTCTCTCTTAAAATGCAGAGCAGGTCACTGCTAAGGGTCAAGGTCCATCCATATTGCCATTGAAGCTAATGGGAAATCTGGAAAATTATGACAGGAAGCTGCAGAGTTATAATTTAGGCAAATATTTGACTTGCTCAGCTTTTGGTGAACTGAGATCTTGTAGCTAAGGTGACATTCCAGTAAGGAAAGTTATTTGGATGACTGTTATTCTGGAATTTGTTGGATATTTAGATCTAAGTAATCCTAGAGCAAATTTGCTTTACTGAAAATCATAGTAGTTTAATTCCCACTCCACAAACTCATTCCAAGCTCTGAAATTCCATTCATTTCCTCTCCGCACATGCAGGGACAATGTCGTTCTGGTGCAATCTGTCTGATTGTAATTACAGGAACTGCCTTGTCCTAACTGGCAGCCTCAGACCTCAGGAGGCCGGTGGGGAGAAGTCCATGGTTCTCCTCAGCTCCCAGCAGAGTCAGGAGAGAGCCCAGCCTTCCTTTTAATCAACTCCTGATCATGTGCAATCGTAATATGTATGAAACTGTGCAAGGCCACTTTTTTTTTTCTCCCAAACTGAGTTCTGCTTTACAGTTATTTCCTAACCATAGGTACTGTTAGCTCTTGCTGCCCGTGCCCCGCATGCTCTGTAAGGCCAAAGCAAAGGGATCATTGGTTCATAATTTCACATCACCATCCTTCCAGTCTGTCTCTTCTTCTGTGTGCCTTAATTCAGCTAGAGTTGGCCAGTAAATGTGATTCTGTAGGCACTGTCATGTGTGCGTTTGGAACCTGACTGTAGTGTTTCCTCACTTGGGAGGGATGATGCATACATACAATGTATACAGTACCTTTAAAAGGACTTGAATCTTCAACATCTTCAGCAGCTGGGAAACCCAATTTAGAGTATTTTCTATGGAGAGTAAGTGCAGCCAGTATTTTGTTCTGAATAGTTTAAATAGCAGATGTGTCTGATAGCTCTTTTGCATTCTGAATTTGATTTTTATGCACTAGATTTTCAATTAGTATATGCTGCTGCTTAAGCTGATAACGTGTTGCTTTGAAAACAGTGTTTCTTCAAAAGTGTGAAATGAGCCCGAGCTGCGGAGAACGGGGATCCACAAACTTGGGGATCCCCAAGTGTGGAGATCTGAGATTCCAGTGGCGCTTTCGGCTCAGGTCGTCGTTACCAAAAGACTGTGGCCGCGTCGCCCCTCGGTGCAGGCGGGCGGCCGCGCGGCGGCACTGAGCCCTG